ATCCTTATAAAAAGGAGAAAATTCTGAAGTGAAATACACACTTTATATATGCATACACATGGAGAATATGGAGGGAAGATAATGTGAAGACTATCTACAAGTTGAGGAATTCTAGAAGCTACCAGACTGTGATGACGGCCCCTTCAAGACACGAATACCTAGGTAGTGTGATACAGAACCCCCTTACATGTAGTAAGTCTTTTCATAGCTTGATCCTCTCCCTGAAGACTATAATTATCTCAAGGGTACAAAAGCAAAAATATCAAGTTAGTCTTTCTAAAGGTATACAACAAGCCCAATTCTTGTGTCACCACAGTTTATTCAAGTAGCAGTTAGCATGTTTAACAATTCCTATGTTCATATCTGTATTACAATAGCTGTCTCGATCTTGTGCAAAGCCATTCAAACTTCTATAATTGTGTTTGATATACTGTCTTACAAATTGGAAGGGGAAAGGTAGGAAAGAGGGGCTAGGGAAAGATTTTAGGTTGAGATTAAACCTCCATTACTGATGAACCACATTTTGCTCTTTACACCTCAATATTTCTGTACATTCTTGAACATTGTTTCCATGTCACATATCCAATTATACATCAAATATGTTGTTTAGCCCATCAATCCATATTCTTATCTTTATTTAATGACCAGTTATCTCATTCCTTTTACCTAGCACTTTAAAAATGTTTCATTGTCATTTGACATGACGAAGGAGAATCTATTTACTATAAAAATAAAAATGAGTACCTAATTATAATTATTACCCAAACTAACAATGCTTTGAACGTTAATAGTACACACAGCACATATTAGGTAGAAGACTGAATAAACCAGAATTCATCCTACATCTGACTTTGCCAAGTTTATTGTATTTCCTTTCCTTACTGTCCTTACAGCCAACATTGCTAGTCATTTGGTTTTCTTTATGTCTGGTATTGCTAAGAGGAGTCACTATTAATTGAACTGTAACTGTGCCAAGTGCTGTACTAAATTCCACATGGGTGATACCTCAATTGCCCTTCACAATATCCCTGTGGAACAAATAGGGATATTTCTTATCCTTACTTTAATACATGAATAAACTGAACTACAAAAGATTGTCACTTGTCCAAGATCAGACAAGTAGTAAATTTTAAAACTAATAATTAAGTGTATTTTAGCATATTACAGAGACCAGGGCAAGACTACCTATTAGGTGTGAATGTGCATAATTAAATTCTAAAGAATTTATGAAACTCACATGCCTGGGCCATTTTATAAGGATTTTAAGTCATGATATTAAATGAGATTTTTGAAGGAGCAAGCACTTTGTTGTGTCACTAGGACCTTCAAAAGCCAAATGCATATCCCAAGATGTGGTTTTCCCTAAGATACTTCACATGATTTATTTGGTCACAGAGCCACTCATCTCTATTCTTACCTTTTCCCTTCTTTGAGACCTTAAGTCTATGGGGGGAAATAAGTGTATCTTAATCTCATCTTCTCAATTTTCTATATACACCCTTAGATGCAATGCACTCTTGACAAATACCTGCTGAACCCAAGCAATGGTTTTATCTCTTCCCCAGTGTCTGTCCCAGATTGCTATTACAGCCTTGTCCTGAAGATGATTTCAGTAGTGAGCTGTTTTTCTAAAGCAGTAGTTCTTTAACTTAAATATGCATCAGAATCACAGAGAAAGCATGCTGGTCACAGGTTGCTGTTTCTTCTCTAGATTTTAATTCATTAGGTCTGGGGTATGGCCTGAGAATTTGTATTGGCAAACAAGTTCCAGAATGATGCTAATGTTACTATGCCAGGGATTATACTTGGAGAAAAAGTGATCTAAAGTGAAAGACTTAGAGACTTATATTGTTCCTTCCTCTTAAAACATTAATAACATCAATTTTCAGGAACATAACATTCTCTGTGACAGGCCCAGAATTCAGAGATAGGAAAGAAAGACTGTCACACTTCATAAAAGGAGTGATATACACAGCATAAATTTGCAAGACTATGACAAGAAAACATCCCTTTGACCTCACTGAATCCGAATCTCTAAAGGCAAAGTTCAGGAATACACACTAATCACTAAGGGTAATCTTAATGTTTGTAGCTCAGGGACTATACGTTAAGAAGTTTTGAATATATTCACAAGTTATCATCATACATTTGAGTGAAGTCCTGCATATTATCCTAAATTACCTCCAATACATATTTAGTGGCAATTACCCACATGACCTTAAAAATATCTCCTTTCCTCTCTAGGCCTGCTCCTTCACATACTAATGCAGCTCCACCACGAATTATACTCTAGCAGGCTCAGACATCAAATTACTGCTTTTTCTTTTCTTCATAAATGTAACTGTTACAAGGCCTTAGTGCTGTCAGTTTTGCAATTAACAAATGGATTTAGGGTTCTTAATCTAAATTCCTGCTTCTAGTGGGTTTATAGGATAAAACTTCTTCCTGGTTGGAAAGGCAAGTGAATCCAGTAAGTAGAAATATAGTCTTACATTATGTATTTAAGAAACGCAGGACAAAACTACTTGAGGTGAGCAACTGTATTTCCAATTAGCAACTATGTCTTTCATATATACCCCACCCACATCTGCTCCCCCCTTTTATCATTTATACCATTCAGGGTATAATACTTAATGGAAACAATGGCTACAAGTTGCAACTGAATACTGGGAATTATTGTCTCAGTTCAGCTGATGATATTTATGCTTTCCTCAAGGTCTTTTGAAAAAGGTCTAATTTTGAACTGGACTAGTGAGAAAATGTAGAAGCTGCTGACATTATCACAGATATATTGCATCATCAAATTTACAAATGGTGCCACTGAAATAAGAGAAACTCATGGATTTGGGATCCAGAGATATGACAATGAGCAAAATTAAGCATATCTGCAACCAGGATTGTTCTCTATCTGTGCAACTTAGGTCCAAAGGACCTGAGACATGTTAGCTAAAACAGACTTACAGGTATCAGGGCAGCCACACAGTAATTGACTTCAAATACTGGAGGACAGTTTATGCAGTATAAGCACATAGTCAGTCAGTCCTAGGAAGACTGGACAGAAGTTATAGGGAGGCATGTTTGACCATAGTATAAGCAGGCTGTCACTAAAAGAGGCTTAGTGACAGTATTGGACTATTGTTTCAGGGAAGAGGTAAGGTATTGGTGAGTAACATGGTTACTTCTAAGGTTCAAATCCTCTGGTTATACTAAACCATGTGATTTTTGTCACCTCATTGGGACTTGATCAAAATTGACACAACTAATATTTTGCTTGCAGAAGTTTATGCAATATAAAAGCACATAGATTCTATTTTCTTTAACCACAATAGTAATTTAAGGATGCAAACCCTTAGAAAGTGGGAGGTAAGAAAATACTTAAGGTTGCGAACAGGTACAAATGGCATAATCCTTTTTTGTACAAAACATGTTAGTCTAGATTAAGGTCCATATTTCAGGTGTTTATACATCCAAATGCTAACACTTTTCATTCATGTGATTATATGTAATTGGCTTTTATAAACTCAAGATGAAAAAGTATTGTTCAAAGGCAGGGATTGGAACATGCTCACTTATATGTTTCCCTCATTACATTAGTCAATTTTGGCTGCCATGACAAAACACTGCAGACTGGGTAGCTTAGATAAAGTAAATTTATTTTCTCATAGTTCTGGATGCATACCTGAAATCCCAGATCAAAATTCATCAAGGTAGGGTAGAAGGTAGAAGAGACTATTTTTCACATGAATAATTCACTACCATAGTTTCCTTCAACTACTTTATATGGCTGAAAAGGGTACATTTATATACTTTTCATTCCTTAAAAGACCACCAAGAATGTACCACATGAGTTTCAAGATAAGGACTATAGTCATTATTTTATTGTAACATTAAAATGCAAATAAACTGTTAAAAGCTGCAAAACTGCACAACTCCGTGAAGATTACAAGTACGTTAAAACTGGTTTGACTTATAGAGGTGCAAGAGCCACACACACAACAGGCTGAGATTACTGACAGCATCTGCCAGCTAGAATTTGTGCAGCAATGAGAAATTTAAAAATGGATTGAAGGGAATATTGGTTACTGATGACTTCTTAGCCAGGGGATATAGGTTTGAAGCCATCACAAGGTGCATCAAACACAGGCCTACAAAACACAAGCCCCAAAACAAAACTCTCACGCAATGTTGAAATTTGCTCTTGGGAGAAGATCTCCACTTTAGAATGTCTGTACACATTTTTTCTCTTGCTGGATAGCTAGGAAGAAAAAAACACAAAAAAAATTATAAGGGTATTTTCTTAATATTAAGTTCAGTTTCTTCCAAAACATCTTTTTTAAGTAACTGAAGGCAGCCATACATGCTCTGAATTTAGAATGTCAAAACATTAACCACACATCCTCCACATCCCCCTCCACATTGAGGGGCCTCACACGTGCATGCATGTTAACTACTTGAACATTTACTAGAATCTACATTGTACCTTTCTTCTATTTGAGAAGTAGATTTATAATATTATCACTTCCCAGGGATCATTCTAAGGTTGAGGGACAAATGAAGTATTTTCCTCAGATGTCGCTTTTCTTAAATAATTAAGAAATTACACCTTTTCAGACAATTTTGACTAACTCTGGAATTGTGAAATAAGACTGACATGACAAAAGGTATTCACCAGCATTTAAAAATACATTTGAGAGTTTCTCCAATAAGCTGTAATTCTAGAGAACAAAACAGAACCCAGGAATCTGGGACCCTTAAATGCACTGAAGCTTTAAACATGTTGTCTTAGTCACTTTTGTCATTGGTGGGACAAAACACCCGATGCCTGACAGTTGAGCAAGTTTATTTTGATTCGAATTTCAGTAGTGTGAACTTATGTTCAGCAGGCTTGCACACAGAAACAGCACGCCGGAAAGGCCTGGATGGAGAAAAACTGCTCACCTCATGTTGTCCAGCAAACAGAAATGTCAGGTGCCAATAAAGGCCTCAGTAAGGCCTTCGGT